CCTGCATGCAGACACCGTGGGACAGGAAGTGCCAGCAATGACAGAGGAGTCAGCGCTGGATCGGAGACCCACCGCACCGCTGGAGGGACAGATGAAAACATCAGGAAAGAAGATCGGATTAAGAGACATCAGTGAACAACAATGTGCTAACATTAACATTGGGTGGAGAGATAAAAAAAAATTACTTTAATGTCACTTTAACCACTTCCAGGCCGCAGTACGTCTATAGACGGTGGCCCACAGAAGTGGTTAAAACAAGAACACGGCTGCTCTTGGTACCGCTTTTAACAGCAGGCGATTGCTGTATGACTTACAAGCAATCGCCTGCTGAGGACTACAAATCTCAGCAGTACTTTATACAGAAATGCTATTGTTATATAAAGTATTGCTGGGATGTGTAGTCCTCTATAGCCTGTGCCATTCTGTATTGCTGTAAATATTAGGGCTGCACCATATATTGGCCGCCAAAACATATTGGCCGAAAATGGCACTTTTGGCATAATGCCGAAAGTGCCATTTTTCTGCTGATACAGCGGTGCATCCGTGCTTTCTTTTTCCCCCGCTGGCCGCTGCTCCGTCTCCCAGCGCGGAGGAGAGAAAGTGACAGCCGGCCGAGCCCTGCGGAAGGAGAACGCTGTGTTTGTGGGGTTCAAAAAAAAATCTTGCACCAGGGCCCTTTGTTCCTTAGCTCCGCCACTGGTTGAGCACCTAGTTTTTGGTCACCACCGAGAGGCTGGGGGCCAATTACTAGTCATCTGGAAGACACAGTTGTTATGGGGCGGTGTTTCCTCTGTTACTACATGTGCCTTCAGGAACCCGGACACCTGGGGTACAAAAATGTTTATACTGGGTTATGTTTTGTTTTCAGATAATATATTGGTTTATTTTTGTATTGAAGTTTTGTATTTAATTAAAGTAAACAAGTGGCTGCTGTGGCCTTTTGAACTCCATACGGTCTGGCGTGTTTTATTGTGGAAAAATGGGGGGAGTTCAGTGGGAGAATAGGTCACAGTGTGGAATGGAGAATGGTGGAGAAGACGGGATCCCTCTAAAGTACCCTTGTCAAGGAGTGGTGTTGCAACATGTTGAATCTTTTAATAAATAACG